TTAAAAGGCTCGGGCCGAGATGCTTAAAGACCATCGTCATCTACTTCATCACTATCATCATCATCATCATCCCCGATGTTGTCATCGCTGGCCCTCAGCTCTGATTCCAAAACCATCATCCACCATGCATAAACGGCCGTCTTGGTCATGAACACCACCACCGCCAGCAACAACGACAACAAGAGCAGCAGCCCTAACAACGATGCTTTAGATCGTCCTAGCCTTGCTCCTCCAATATACCCTGAGAGCCGCTCAGTCTATGGCTTTGGGCTGAAAGTCAAGAAATTCCGGTGATGTCTTCGATTTGGTATCATGAGCAATCCCCGAAACAACCCCAAGTTCCCAAGGAGACGTCTGGGGCCCTGGGCGCAGGGTCACAGGCACAGAGGCGCCCGGGACGAGCTGTCAAGGACAGGAAAAGCACGATCTTATTTTCGACAAACTTAACTAGCCCGTCTGTGGCTCAAGAGGTTTAGGGTTTCGGTTTGTCGCTGAGGAATTGTGACATGGGTGCACAGTTTACGCTCCTTACATGCAGCGGGAGCATCTCAGGGCTTGGGGCAGTTTTCGACTTTGCCGTGCAACCCCTCCTCTCGTGTGCCCAACCGAAGTCGGTTTAGGGTTTGGGGTTTGGAGTTACAAAGGCTCACATTGCCCCTACTTCCATCTTGCAAGGTGATCGGTTGTGGCAAGGATTGCAATTTAGTGGTCGGTTAGTAACACTGGCAAAGGCTACACACCGCTACCACAACGACGACGATGTGCACGATCACCACGACTGCCAATAATGGTGGAAGTGCTAACAGAGGCAAAAGAAATTGCCGTGGTCGCAGCGGCAATCCGCGGCTGTAGTAGTAATCGTACTGCAACAGCATAGACAAAGACCCGACGGCTGCACTGGATAGAGTACCGGCAATAACCGCAGCATGGGCAGTTATAATGCTGATGCAGTGATGCCTAGCAATAGTACTTGCCACAACAGACAGTGTCATATTTATTACAGTATTATGTTACATGATATGATATGATATGATATTCCTTTACATTATGTTGTAATAAACCCTCAGAGTTCCAAGCCATTTATTCCTTCCGGCCTTTGACGGACAAGCAAAGCGAGGTCTCTGAGACCAATCATCCTCTTCTGGGTCCTGCAGAAGCTTCTTGTAAGAACCGTGCTGCCTAGGCTAGGTTTTGTTTGTTGCGGGCCCCTTTCTACCAAGCAGAGCCTGCGTTTGGACTTCCTGGTATGATAGGGTTTCGGGCGGTAGATTTAAGGTTCAAGGCGCGCCAGTCTGCCTGCACATGTGCACCTACCTGTATATAGGGTCATGAGATGTCATGAGTCAAGACCCGGCGTATTTGAAGGATGTACCTTCCAATGACTCTTCTGTATTCATGTGTTGTCTGTGTACATCCCTGAGAATGAATGCATACACACACACATACATACATACATACATACATACATACATACATACATACATTGCATTGCATTACA